ACCACCACCACCACCACACACACACCTCTCCCGTACTTCCCGATCTTTGTAGGACCTGAGGCTTGGGGTGGGGATCTGGCAGCTGAGGAGGCCAACTCCCCCTCAACCCAAACTCTCCTGTCCCTTCTTCTCTCGGGGTGGCTTTCCCTCTAGGCCCACTAGCTTCAAGTCTGGAGTCTCCAACCCCCACAGTAGCTTGTTCAGGCCTGGTGTGTTGTCATGACAACCTGGAGCCTCCCAGCCCCACTGCAAAGGCCCCTCTGAAAAATTTATCAGGAAAACTTCCGTGTTTAAAAATTAACCACGGGATTGAAATATTAAAGATGAGCCGCTTTGGGCAATGGACTTGGGGTACAGGAGCCAAGTTCTTCCGTCCTGACAGGATGGCATCAGCCCGTCACCCCAGCTGCCAGGGGCCCCGCGACCAACGCCAGCCCACTCCACCCCGGTCTGCAGAGTCCCAGGTTCTCCTCCTTCAGTTGAGGCTGGGCCGGGGTAGGGAGGCAGGAAGGAAGGCGCCCGCTTCAGCAGGTTCCCAGGGTCACATTGCACCCCACCTCTGTTTGCCCCTTACCTGAACTACTTCTGAGGGCCTCCCTTTAGTCCACCTGAGGGTGGGCGGCCCTGCCAACACCAGGGAGGGCCTGGCCTGAGGCAGTGAGCAGGCCAAGCTGCCCTCTCCGTCCTGGCTGCTCCCGAGACTGGCCCCAGGGAGGGTGGGCTGGCACCTGCCCCCTCGCTGCACACCGTGCCCTGACCCAGGCGGCAGAGTGGGCTGTGCCCAGGTGTGCACACTCCCCAGGGAAGGAACAGGGTCTTGTGCAAAGCATCTTCCCCCGAAATCCATGGTCCCCACAGCGGCTGGACTGGGCCCTCCTTTCCCCAGGGCTACTCCCTGTTCTGGGGTTCCCCTGACTCCCCAATTCCCACCTTCAGGCCTCCCCAGGTTGACCCTCCCTCTGCCCTCTCCCCACCCCCAGCCTGTCCACCTGGCCCAGGTGAGTTTCGTCATCCCAGCCTTCAACTCCAACTTCACTCTGGACCTGGAGCTGAACCAGTGAGTGTGGCCTTGAGCCTGGGAGGAGGGGCTACAGGGGGGGAGCAGGCATGGCCTGGACTCGGCTGGGTGGATGGGGTGGGGAGACTGAGCCGGGGCGGGGGATCTGGATCTGAGCTGAGGCGGGACCCGAGCCCGACCCAGACCCACCAGTGACCCGTTCCTTCCTCCTGCCCATTCCGCTCCAGTCACCTTCTCTCCTCCAAATACGTGGAGCGCCATTTCAGCCGCGAGGGGACAACCCAGCGGAGCACGGTGAGTGACTCTGGGAAGGACAGGAGGCCACTGAGATGGGGTCAGGGGTGTCCTTTACGGTTGGGATGGGCCTGGCCCCTCAGGACCCTCCATTTCTCCCCAGGTTGAGGTTTGGAGGGTCGCAGTCGGGGTGGCATGTCAAAGGGGGTGTGGAGCCCTGAGCTCCTCTTGCCGAGCTCCAGAGGCCTGAGCCCAGCCAGCTCTCTGCCCAGCATGGAGGCATTCAAGCACCCTCACTGCTCCACGCCCAGGCATTCTGGGAGGGGGCTGTTGGGGAAATGTCCTTTTGCTCAGCACCAAGGCCCTGGGAATCCCTGGCTGCCTGGGATACTAGGGTGCCAGCCCTGGAGGCCCCGGGACCCAGCCAAGATGAATGAGTATCTATAAATAGCCCCCCCGCCCCCCAGCCTGTTCAGTAACTGGAGCACAAGTAATTCTGCAGGAAGCAGGGGAGGGGCTGCTGGTCCCCTCTGACCCACGAGCTGGGCCAGGAGGACACATGCTGCTCACAGTTCCTCAGACACAGACCAGGTGTCCAGGGGTGGTCCACGGAGGCAGTGGCATCTGTGAACACACTATGCGTGAAATTGTGTGGCACATAGTAGGTGCTATATGAATGCTATTCTCAAAGGAGCCTGGGGTCCCTGCATCAGCCCCAACAAATGGTTAAGAACCACAGATGTAGTCCAACTTCCTCATTTTGTAGGTGAGGTGAAGGAGGCCCAAAGAGGGCTAGGAAATTCCCCGGGTGAAACAGCCAATTAGGAGTAGAGCCAGGCCGTGAAACCCAGTGTCCCCAGGCCTGCAGCCACCTGCACACGGGGCACCTCCAGGGGCCCGCACCTGTCCTCCCGCCTTCATGCCAAGGCAGGGGGCATGTCCGCTAACGTTCTGCTGATCCTCCAGGGGGCGGGAGACCACTGCTATTACCAGGGGCGGCTCCGAGGGAACCCCCACTCCTTTGCTGCTCTCTCCACCTGCCAAGGGCTGCAGTGAGTATGGGGAGGGGCTGGGCGGCCGGGAAAAGCCTCCAGCCCCAGCCTGGAATGGTGGGGAGCTGTGGCGCCTCTCTCTCTGCAGTGGGGTCTTCTCGGACGGGAACTTCACCTACATCGTGGAGCCCAGAGAGATGGCCGGGCCTCGGGAAGCCCCCCGGGTGAGCCTTCACTGTTCCCTCTGACAGCCTGCCATGCTCATCCTCATGGCTGTCACTGTCCCCTCCTCCCCCCTTGGTAACCTCAGCCTCACTGCCCTCGGTGACCCCAGCTCTGATTCCCTCCCCCTGCCCCCAGCTCCAATGTCCCCGCTGTCCCCCAAGTAACCTTCCATTGGGCTCTAGTGTCCTTTGCCCCTATCTCTCAGGGCGCCCCCAGGTCTTGACCCTGGAATCTGAGCATCTGGGAGATCAGATCCGACATGGGAGCTCTGGCCAGTTCTAGGTCACTCTGGGGGGTGGGGGGCGGGGAGGGCTGGAGCTGTCCCCCCTCCCAACTGGGCTCAGAGCAGACCTAGTCAGCCTTCTAAGAACTAATTTCCCCTCATTACAGGGACCACATCCCCACCTCATTTACCGGACCCCTCTCCTCCCAGCCCCCATTGGATGCAGGGAACCAGGTAAAGGAGGAAAAGTGGGGCTGGGGAGGGGACCGGCTGTGCCCCCCCTCACCTCTCCCTTTCCCCAGACTGCCTGTTCGCCGCCCCTGCCCGTTCTGCTCCTCCTGACCGGCCGAGGCTGAGAAGGAAAAGGCAGGTACGGGGCCCGCACAGACCTCGGGCTGCAGAGACCTCAGGCTGCAGGGACCTCAGGCTGTGGTCCAGAGCAGGAGGACACCCCCAGCCGTGGCTGGGGCAAAGAGCTCAGACTGATGTGGCTGGGCCAGGGCGCCATCTCTGGGAGGGAGCCCCCCACCTCATTCCCTGTGTCCCCACGGTGGGCTAACAGGGGTTGCCTGCCCTCCTATCAAGGCTGGGGCGGAATGGTACCCCTGCCAGTGGGGGCTGGCATTGTCCCTGGATGGAGTCCAGGCCCCTAAGTCTGTCCATGGCTTGGCCATGACGCCAGGCGTGGAAGGGACTGATTCCAAGTGCCCACCCACCCCCCAGGTCCGCCGGGGCCACCCTACAGTGCACAGTGAGACCAAGTATGTGGAGCTGATCGTGATCAACGACCACCAGCTGGTAAGTTCCCAGGCTGTGGGCGGCTCC